GSMMCCCMAMCCYKKTYMWTGATAGTTTCTTGTCATTTTTGTATCAATTATAGACTCTTATGCCAGAGCTTTAACTACCATGAAGTAARCAAGGCTCTTCCCCTAGTAAAATATCACACATTCTTACCTATACCTATAAGGGTCATGACATGGGATATGCACTCATGAATCAGCATCGATTAGCATAATATTTTTAGGATCAGGGATCACAATTTTGATTTGGGATTGGGGGTTGAGATCACAGCTGCTGAAAATCTGTAAATTTAAATGCTAGAAMACTCAAATTTTGTTGGATAAGGGAATTTGCACAGACATTTGAGATCAGGGATTAACATTTTCATCAAAAAAACGTGATCACAAATAAAAGTGACATCACATGTCACAATCCTGTATACCTCCATTCAAAGGCCATTTGCACAAAAGTAGTAAGTATTTTTTTTCAAGTGTATCAGTAAAGATTTTGTCCTGGTTATGATATTGTATGAGGATAACTGTGTAACAATTTTTTTTTCCAAAATGAAAATGCAAAACAAATCATTAAAATGCTATAAAACTGTCTGCTGACACTACCCTCCAGGAACAAGATTGATATGTACAATGTGTCTATGACAAAAATGTGAATACAGCAAYAACCAATGATAACAGAGTATTTTACTTTAAGCATCTAATTCTAATATGGTATTATGATGACATATTTACAAAGTTTATTACTATGATATAAATATAAATGGTAGCTTTAGCTGTAAACCCTTTCTGTGAGTAAATATGAACTTCTTTGAATCCTTTTTCAAGGATGTGAATAATAGGCCTTTTGCATGAAATGGTCACATGGTAGAAAATCCGCCATACTTGATGGCAAAATACCCACTGGGATGTACAAAACAAAGAAAAGTCAAGCTTGACAGGCTGCRTTCCTTTTGTTTTTTAAGGTTGTTTACATAATTCTTTTGCCATCCAGTATGGCGGATTTTGTACCATGTGACCATTTCATGCAAAAGGCCTATTCTTGTACGACGAGCCTGCATGATATTCCCATCAATCAACATTAAAAAAAGGCCATAGTAAATGAAATATTTTTTTTTCTCCTGTTGTATTATGAACAATCTTTAGACTTTGATTAAGATTCTACAATGGCAGAAGTTGCTTTCTATCACCCCCATACTAAGCAGGAATTTAGCAGACTTGTTCCCGGCTGTCACTCTTGTTTTGCTACATGTATGCCAAATGTAATTTATTATAGAGGGGTACCCATAATAAGAAGGGGTCCATAATATAGGGTACTTCTAATAAGGGGGTGCCCATTATAGTCGGGTACCAATAATAGGGGGGGTCCATAATAGAGAGGTGCTTGTAATAGAGGAGGGTCCATAACAGAGGGGTGTCTTTAGCTATGCCCATAATRCGTTGCCAGCAAAACACGTTTTAGCAGCGCATTAAAACTTCAAGAGAGATATTTGCTGTCTTCTACAAAATTACTCAGGCTATTCGTACGAGAATGAAACGTTTCAATCTTTTAAATTCCATTAAGATGCTTTAACCCGATGTTTGGGCCTCTCTTGCACCGGCTTTCATATTGTCAGCAACTATTCCATAAACTGCCAACCATGCCTCTTTGACCTCTGTTGTAAACTTCTCAGTTAGGCCTGTTTGAAGAGTGAACACCAGCGCTTCCCCGACAGGCTGTGTTATTAGAACAAAGAGATTTATTAGTTACATGTACTGTGGACCCAGAGGTTCTTTAAGAAACCTTGCATGTGACGTCAAAAGAGCTTCATCTRGGGAACAAACAAATGTTTGCTTCACAGTCGAATCTATTGTTTTACCGGCACCCAGATCAAATTTTGTTCCTGTGAAATGCAAGGTTTCTATTGTCGAGGACTGGTAAACAAAATTTATGGCATTGCCATTCGTTATTGTTAGCAACTTGATTTAAATCAAAATTCTCCAACAATCACGAAGCTAGCGGTTTATGGAATTTTGAATTAAATCGACTAGAAATGATGAATACGTCAAGGCCTTGAAACTTGTTTTTGTCCGGCGATGGAGCGTGGAACGAAGTGCAGTGTTAAGTAATATCCGTTCTCGTTTCTTCCCCTAAGTGAAATGTAAATAAAAAATAGATAACTGAGATATTTATATAGTGATCATACCCCATAATGCTCCTCTTTAACATTCCATTTAACGTGTCTTGCACCAAGGTCTTTTAATACTCCAGCAAGAGAAGGAACATCATCTAGTCCATCGACTGCCGCTCCCACCATCTCCATCACTCTCTTTGCTTGAAACTTGAACCGATCGTCTTCTTTYAACTTATCGATTCCTTCTACATCTCTGAACGTAAACAGCTGTTGGGTTTCAGGGTGTTCTGTGAAGAGYCTGTTATGTAAATGGGACGAGTCAGCATTTTGACAATAATCTGAGTAAAGTCGCGATGCAACGRTTTCTGCTGTAAAAAAGGTGGGCGTGRCAASTTGAATTTTTTATCCCCCAAAAGAYACGACCTGTGTATTGATTTTAAGTTCAGTTTCTTTGGAATTAAACGATAAAAACAAATTTATACTCCAAGATATGACAATCTTTGATGTCCCAAAAATCTTTYACAGACATTGTTTCAGGCACCCGTGACCGTTACGGCGCCATTCTTACGACACGTTTGCACAGGAACTATGAACCGGAAGCTTTTGCTTGGGTACCAGCGAAAATGAATGTTGCCACTAGTGCCTTAGGCACCGTAGCAGATACCAGATCCGCGATTTTGACCCCTAAAAGATACAAGGATCATCGCTATAGCCCTCCCGTGGTCTCTTTAATAAGCAGATCTCAGAGATTTGAAAGGATATACGTACTTCGTATTCAAAACATACAGTAATATCAACATTTTTCGCGCGCCGAGCACTCAGCCATATGCAGGAATAGCCCTAGTAGCATTGCYAGCATCACACTTTATCTGATCATCATCAAGAAGTTTGAAAAACTTAATTCTGGAAATTACAAGTACGATGATGTCCGAGAACCGATCAATGTTTACAAAACTATGCAGTGTACGCAAATATGACCTCGGCTTGCAGAAGAGCGGAAGAAGAGCGATTTTGAGAGGGAATTAGAAAGTCTAAGCATGTTATAAGATGAAATTTAAAGGCAAACTAAACTGAATGAAATGGTTCGATTGCGGGGGTTTTGCGTTAAACTACAGGGATTTGTTGAGAGATTTCGATTCAGGACCTCGCATTTTCGGCAGTACTACATTAAGGCAGTACCTTCGCATAATAAACTAGCTCAGGCATATGAACTATCAAATCGGGACATGTAATCACAACAATTTTCACATCAATTTTCATGCGTAAGTCTGTTTTTACCTAGTGTAAAACGTAACCCCGTGGCCTTCAAGGTCCTGTTTYACATCCTTCCAAGTGTCTCTTACAAGCTCTATCTGCTGTGCCGTCAAACCCTCGCTCGCCTGAGGARCMACGGAGTTTTTAGTCTTTACACTCTTGCTTCCACCGCAGCCCATACTGATAACAATGTGCAAAACGATGTGTGAACGATCTGTTGATGTTTCAAATTGAATTGTTAGTACGATGATAAGCTCTAGACAGGGGCTGGACTGCCACTGGGCAAGTATTAGGTAGCAGGATTGCAGTCGATTGAAGGATTAGGGTCATTTTAAGTCCGTGATGTTCTAATCAAGCATTRGTTGAACGTAAATGAATTTATAGATGTTGAGTTATCTTTCAACGATCGTGACTTAATGAGGCTAAATTTTGATAGCCTTAGGGATATGTACTTTATACTTAGAACGATCAACTGGACAAACAAATTCAATTAACTCAACGTGAAAGAGAAAATTCTAGACTGCAAGGGCAAAAGTACATRCACCGACTTAAATTGATGAAATTCGCAAAAAAAGGAAAAAGAGTGAGCAAAAAACGCGCAAACCAGGAAATTAAAGAATCTAATGAAATACAAATGCAAGGCAGGAAAAACTACAACATTTTATCATGACATATTGCATGGAATTTCGCCGTTGTTGAGCGCATGGAACGGGTTTATGGCCGGGTCGACTAAATATATCTTCATCGAGAAGACGCAAACGTTCACCCGAGTATAAAAAGTTACCGGAAATGAAACTTGCAAAAATTTGTTGTGATATGCAAACGATGCACACAGGTCAGTCATAGACAAGTAGTTCTWAGCTTATTAAGTAAACTATTTCGGGATACCTGTGCCTCATCACTTRTTCGAGGTCGAGTGTGTTCATTGCTGAGAAAGTCCCTCTTGAACAAATTTGAACATATTACATAGCTCACTTTCAAATCTAGAGCTGTATCCATTGTTCCATTGTTCCAGCTGTATCCATCATTGTTTTGTAGTTTTTACATATAAATCGTTTTTAAGTTCAAAAATCAAAATACAAGTGCCGAGTTTGTTTGTACATGTAGCCTAAACTTCACGCAATTAATCACGAATTAAAATGGTGACTTACTTTAAATTTCAGTAGACAAGTTCTTCAATAAAAATGCGATTTCAGATTTCYACAACTGTCTCTTGAAATGATGGCGTGATAATCTAGAGAAGAGCTGGATTTAAACTTAAGAAAATAATCTACGTGCAAACACAAACAAAAGAGAAGCAGAACTGTCAGTGTCGATACCTCACTGTGGAAGTTTTGAAGAAGTTTATGTCAGTTTGTCGCTTTTGCAGCAAAGTAAACAMATATAAACAGTTTCTCGCAGCCAAGGAGACCAGATAAACAAAGACTCAAAGTTTCCGTATCTAAGCTTTTGYTGAATTCTTCGCSCAARCTCTGAAWGGGCTGGTTGTCAAGAAACATTACTTACAATTGTTAGGGAATATTTTGATTAAATTGATAGAATAGCATCGATGAAGCATGACATTGTAAGTGACTTCCTACAAAAAATGCTTCATTTTCCATTACATTTTATAGCAATTCTTAGAACATTTGCCTTACTAAAGGAATGAGGATTGAATTTTTTATTATACTATATGCAAAAAACTGTATACGTACATTATAGTTGAAACGCTATTTTAAATTAAAATGCGCTTTTCGAGTGGAACCATGCAGTGAAAGTTCCGAACTTAATTCAGCAATACAAACTATCAGTATCACATTGTAATAGTCTGCAAACAAAAAGAAAACAAAAAAACAAATAAAGATCTTTTATTTTCAATGGAAACGCGTATCTGTTTAATTGAAAGTATTCTTATTTCAAACGAAAACAATTTAATAATTAATATGCCCGATTCAAACTCCATTGTTTAACAGTAATTACGTGCACATTGATTTATTCGGTGGACGAGTGCTTAGAAACAAAAGCGGAGTTGAACAGTAGAATTCGACTGTTCGAGTATARACAGCTTTTCGATGAAGCCAAGGAAACCAGACAACAAACATTCAGATAGTCTCCATATTGTTTTTAAAGTCTCACTGGTGGTACTGAATAGAAGAATAATAGAAATAAAAAAAATGTCTTCATGATTGTCTTCATGATTGACTCCGAATCACACCTGTCGAATTTAAAACTCCATTTTTTTTATGAAAAAAAACAACAGAAATAATACTTGGGAAATTCAGAGTCTTTTGTTTGGGACGTTACTGGAAGATTTGGGACGCGCGAGTGGAATAAAGTTGAACGAGTGGTGACTCTCAAGGTGGTTTCTTGTTCATGTCTGAAAGAGGCGAACTCCTTTCCTTTTAATTTTCTACAAAAATTGTCATGTTTAATGTAAATGCAAATGCCTCATGCATAATTGACCATTCATGTACTTCAAATATTACAGATGCCCAGGTCGKGAGATTAAATAACAAGAATTACCAAACTGTTCAAAATACACCCTGCTWCCATAGTAGTTCTCTAATGCCGTGATCACAGAGTCAAACACGCAGTTTTTAAAATGCACACTGTCCTCAACATTTCTCGGGGATCCGGTACCCCCMGGAAACGATGCAGATATCGGGTAGACATCCAGGATCTTGATACCAGCCCGGCACATCGCCCACGATGCGTATGAATTGAATAAAAGGACTCTCTGGAAAAAAAAAAACATAATTGTGTTTATCCATTTCAAAATACACAGTTTATTTCATTTTAAATAATTCTGAACCAACCTGATGGGTCATAAACCTCCGTCCATTATAATGCGGATTAGGGATCTTCTCTCTRTTCATAGATGTTGTTGATTTCCATATCAAGTCACCATGGAAACGGTCAGATCCGTTTAGTCCTTCCTTAATTTCATGAAAAACTTCAACTGTTCTATTTATTAGCTTCTGAAAACTTTCAAACGGAATTGCGGAAATAAAATGCAAACCAAAGTTCAAAATCAGCACGCTTTTTGTGTTGTTCAATTCAGGTTTGAAGAGAACAGACTTCAGTTCCTCCATAACTCTTTCGACGTCAAAGTCGCGAAGATCATGCCAGTGTTTTTCGACAGTGGAATTTTTCACGGTGTAAATCCAGTTGTAGGTGGAGCCGCAGCTTTTGAAGATTGACGTGCAAAGGTTGCGGTTCTGGATTGAWTTGTGCAGACGTAAAGCATTCGAGTCTCCGTATATCCACAGGACTCCCTCTCGTCTGAGGAAGGCATTGTTCGACAGTAGATTATCTATAAAAAGTGAAAGAACATTGAAAAATTAATGAGYACGCTTTATTTTGATCCTGTGCGCGACCTTCTAATAGATAAAGCTCGTTTCAGGCTTGCACGAACTTCAGTGCAGGATTTCTCATGTTCAAAATTAGCTCAAGAAAAGCGTACCGTGTTAAAATCGTCAGTCATTCAGTCAACGTTGAAAAAACATATGTATTCACCCCCTCCTGTATATGTTATTGCATCAAAAAGGTCTTTGTAGAAATATTTGGGGAAGAACGCGCGTATATTTATATACAAAGGGTAAATACAGTAGGCAGACACTCTCTTTTGTTTTCTTTCTCTATGAGTACAACAGTGTTACCTGGTATATAAGGTACCCACGTTCCATTCGTCCAGCGTCCATAACCATCCAATAACCACGAGTTGCAATGTTCTCCACAAGATAACGCACTGCCAAAACCGTAGCTAAGAAATTCTGAGAAAATATACCATTAATTTGTATATTTTCATTAACATTCCAAGGACAAATAAGACAATTCTGCATTGATTTTGACCCAATCAGAAAAAGAGGTTTTGAAAATTAACATTAGAATTCGCTACTTTATAAACTATTAATATTAAGAGTATTAACGCACCATCCTTTCTCAATGGACCACGAGCCTGCGGTACATGAAARGTCAGCGGTGAGCCTTGCCATAATGGCTGRTTCAGAAAATGACGWTGTGTACCCAAAATCCCTGGCGGTTGCGCTGCCCCGTGGATATTTCCTGAAAGAGGAGATTGTAATTTCTAGAAACTCAAGAATTTATCAAATTTTTCGGTTGAAATATTCACATCATTACATCAATTCGTCATCATAAAGCTTACCGGCTATAAACCACTTCTCCGGTGGRTCTTTGTAGCCCTCGCAAAGTGTATAGTCAAGTACCACATTTGCCGTATARTCTCCGGGTTCCATGACGAGAAACAATACCTCGTATGTTCCATTATTGTGGTCGATGATTGTCGGTGCGAATGAAGAGGGACCRTGGATAAATACCCGCCACGAGTCACCTAAATGAGTCAAGATTTTAAGATATATTAAACTGTTATTCATGTCATTTGCTGACTGAGAGATCTGTTTTGTAATCAGATTAAACTGAAGGCTGTTTTATATGCTCATTTGCAAAGTAAAGTGCTTGTAACGAAAAATATAAGTATAAAAATATGTACTGAAGTTGTTGTAAAGAAGAGGGCTAAATTAACTAATAAGTGTTCTATCCGAGATAATGTAACCAGCTCGCCATCATCAATTCAGTAGTGAGACTAATACCCAGACTCGTAACAATCTCAAAAATAGTTAAAGAAACTGAAAAAAACTGCAAGAAAGATAGATAAATCATTAGACGCATATGCCACTTACCTCCAATATGCTTAATGCGACCGTCCGAAGTCTGTGTTTGTATACTAAATCGACTAAAATCCCCCGCTTCCTTAATACTCATTAAYGACACATAACTCAAGTCCGGATCTGTATTATTAACCTTAGACCACCCCCCAGGGTAACGTTGCCATTGTGTTGCATGCTGACACGGCGCCAGTAAAGATCGCCAATCATTCCGTGAAGTCCGTACCCGGCACCAGTCTMMACGGAATTCTTCCAAAGTGTTTCTRCTAACAGTGCTTGTTAGGTACAGTGGAAAATAAAGTTTTAGAAATATTAAGAGACATACTACAAGAATCCAATACAAACAAAATAGTCGTCGAAGAAGAAATAATCTCGGTAGTCCTCGTATCGTTATAGATCGATARATCCTTGTTTGAATTTCACGGCAAAGCTGACACAAACTTTGACGAATTTCTTGCTGAAAGCGAACATAAGGTGATGATGKRTTGKCTTGATCCTCTGGTCCATGCTCTTGTCCCGCGGRATTCTGCCCTCCACTTTCGRGGCTTATGATATCGTCATTGTAGCTATGGAGTGGTACACTTTGAAGTGCTTCAKTGTTGCCATGGTAACTCATAGACCACCAAGTAAAAGTGTGTAGAATTGTGGAGGAAATTCTGAAGCAAATTATTATACGATTAATTATTCTAAATGATCATGCCGTTAACATGTTTAAAAAGACTAAAAGGAGGAACGTATCACTAGTAGAAGAGGGATAATACCGACCCAGAATTCCCTCAGTCTAAGCAGATGGGAAAGAATTAAGGGGGCCGCAAACAGAAATACTTTTTTGCAACAAATTTCAAAAAGAAGCGCGACTCCTCGCCCTCCCTGTGGACCCTCCCTTGCCCTACACGTTCCCTTATTCGCTACTCTACAAAACAGCTTAAAGGACATCAACCGGAAGTAGAAATAATACTCGAAAAACAAAATGGCGATCATAATTGTCCATTATTTTGAATCAGTTCAAATATAGCTCAAAATTAAGAATTTAAATTCTATTTGTTTTTGATATAAATACGAATCAATTATTCAACCTAACATCAGTGCGTCCCATATATACGACTCAAGGTAATTCGTGGAATGATTTAAAAACGCTGGGGCCGGTTGTACGCCAATAATGCTTGATAAAGTTATCCACTCCTTTGATTTTTTTTATGGATTTTAAGGCTGCATAATAGGATTTATCCGGTCGATAGCGCTATTTAACATTCGTACAATCGGCCCTAGATCAGTAAAATGAACTGTTGTTGGTTGCCAGCAACATTTCTTGCATTCATGAATGGCGAACCATATACAATAAACTGATACACAAATCATTATCACCTAAATCTTCAAAGTTCTATTAAAGCAGACTTCACGTGATTATAAGGACAGCACTGAACTCAGGCAACGTTGCTTGAGTGTTTATTTTGAAACGAAATTTTGACAATTGATTGATTGTTCGCGATTATGACAAGCTGTGGCGCAACTCGACAATTTATCAGAAATATATCTCACTCACCTTATTAAAAATCTATTCCTCGTTGTTGCAGATCAATCAGTATACAAATCCTTGTTACAATCAAAATATATTAAAACTCGATCACTGTAAATTGTTTGCCTGATTCAATTAAAATCACCAGTGTTTTTTGATTGAATTTCTTTTGTTTGAAATGACTGTTTTGATTGGTTAATCATTGCTCTATAGTCACGTGAMCTAGTGCTCGCTCTAACGCCTGTACCTGCTGATCGTGTGGTGCTGTATTCAAAGCAATTCTGGTGGAAAAGTCGAGTGATGAATTGAAAATAGAGTTTTAAACAAGTGTTGGGTTTCAGCACAGGAAATAATTTCCCAATCTATGTTATTGTTTTTTCTGTCCCCAATTTCAGGTTTATCCATCTCACAAATAATCAAAATATTTTTTTCACATGCATGAAGGTTTTTAATTTAGATAATTTCCATCCGGATCAAGATTAAGAAGTAACAAGAGAGGTTTTTGCATCATAGAGACATTTATAATATCAGTACGTAAATGGAGAAGTTGAATGCATCAACAGCAGCACAATCCACAACAACTAGCAATGATAATAACAATACTTGCATATAGGGTGATAATTTAGGAATATAATAGAAGTAGCCTCAACACAACAGCATGCAGTTGAATGAAAGAATTCCTAAAAACAGTTTTACAGCAAAAGTTCAGATACTTGCACAATAAAGGCGAAACATAAAGCGTACTTCAGAAATTTCCATACACTTGGTTTCAGTAAAAAAAAAACGATCATACTTATATTCAGTGTGACAATCTAAAATAAGCGCACTCAATCTGTGAAACTAATTGTATACCATTAAGTTTCACGGCTCTACGTACAATAGTAYACTGAACGGGTATGAACAAATCATGAGCTATGCAAGATAAAATTTTCCAATGCTCTTTATTTTCTTTTGCGATTTCTCTATAATCTTCWTTAACGTTTACGTCTGATTCAAAAAGAACAGTAAAGTTTCTTTTGAGCTACATTTTTTCTTCTACAATATTTTTATTTTTTTTTTGTTATCTGAGGTTTTATCTGTTCAGTGAGTTTGCTTGGGGACTTGCGACCTCTACTGAGCCAAGATGTAACCGTAAGCTGGAACGTTCTTCTTGCCATATAAACAATTTCCGGTGGAAGCTTTACCAGCACGACACCCATGCCCATCACCACCAAATCCAATGTGCGAATCGTTTGTCCCACAGTCATTTTCATTATTCGAACCTATCCCAATTCTGATCCTTGAATGCTTTTTAGCAGAGGTRAGATTAAAYCCTTCTTTGTTACAGTTCGGCTGCAATGATGAGCCCGCGATCAATGACATCCATTTATTCCGGCCGATAGAGACTTGACGGTATTTGCCGTCTGCGATCACAGAGTACAGCGAACTTGCCCTATCATTCAAATTACTTTTGTTACTGAAAATT